GCCATTTTGAACCCTGTGACACAGTTTACAGCTAAAGAATCAGATCGCTCACTCTGCGTCGGCACTTTTGATCTCAATGTTTCAGTTTATACACTATGCAACTCGGATAATACAATATATGACAACCGCCTATAATAAAACAGCAGTCTTCTGCGTATCCTGAATTTGTATCCCTGGAGTGGATGTTATTTTGGAACTTTCAACTGGTCCGAGTGAGCTAACTGATTCTTTAGCAATAAACTGTGACTTCAAAAATAATATTCACTGACACTGACAGCAGCAAGCAAAATATCAGGTGCGTTTTAATCATCCGCTTCTGCTTCCGGAATTGTCGGTTTACTCGTTTTAACCTGTCAGATTAAAACAAGGAAACCGACAATTCCGAAGCAAAAGCGGATGATTAAAACGCACCTATTAAAAATATTGCGCCAAGATGTAGGCAACACGTAATAAGGGTTCAAAATGGCGGAGTTTTCTATCTCCTTTTAAAAGGCACTCAGAAAGCTATGCAGTGCGACCATTCTCCGTATAGTAAAAGAAAATCAAAGTATGTGCTTTATACACATAAATTGACAGGTTGCCAGCGGATCTCACCGAAGTGGACGCGATACATTGGCGTACAAAATTATTTTATAGATGTTAATAACAATTTCGAGTAAATAGTTTAATAAATTGTGAATAGCTGTTGAAATTTTGTAAAATTATAATTTGAATATTATAATACATGTTTAATAATTATTTATAATCCATAAATACATGCGATTGTCCGGTTCCGACGAAAACAGTTTAAAATTACTTATTCTATGAAACGACACTGGCAGGTAAACATTACTGTGAAATTCTCGGAGCCACCCGACGTGGTTTGACGTTTACCCCCTCTCTACCTACCAAAAGACTTTTCAACTTTTACTTTCTCTATACATCTTCGGTCTCTTTAATCTAAGCATATGTATTATTTTTGATATACAAAACTGGGACCGGTAGGCGTGGCTTTTGCACTCACTAAAATGGCGGAAGAGCAGAACCGGATTTACAAGTTTTTATTGTACTATTTCTGGTTAAGTATCATTATATGAACTATAAAAAAATAGTATATTATGCAACGATCATGTAATGATGGTTATTAATACACGAGCATTAACCGGGATACGAAACGAGCCAAAGGCGAGTTTCGTATGGTTTTTGCGAGTGTTTTAATAACCATTACATGAGAGTTGCATACGCTATTTTTTCTACACCCGATAAATAATCAAGACCTATAAATATTATATTTATATTGGTATTGAACACAATAACAGTAATTACTCGTATTTCTATAAAAAATTCTACAAAATTGTAATTAATGGTATTACTTCAGGTATTGGTATTTCCCTAGATTTTTGCGGTAAAATATTTTGTACTGTATTTTCTGCTTTCTCCGATATGTGTGGAGGAGTCTTCTATATCGCTAATATCAGACATTTTAATATTATAATTATCGAAGTTTAGCTACCTACGAAAATTTAATACGTTTTGACAACTAAAATAATTACATAGGAACCTAGGACAAACGTCAAACAGCATGCTTGATTGAAAAATTGTAGGTTTCTATTGATTAAAAATCTGTATCGTAATGAAAAATCTGTATCATAATGGGTATCATTATGAAACGGATTATGGGCATATAAGTGCATTATTATAATACGGGTGTAGAAAAAAAAATAATTGCTTACATTTTTACTTCAAGGCATAAGCTTATGTTTATTTTGAAAAATATGGATGATCAATCTATGTAACTATCTATTTCATTGACCTTGTGAAATCACCAGGCCTACAGGGTTGCCATAATTTTGCTATATCATAACCCGTCAAAACATACTAGTAGCCATTCGGTTTGGAATGCCTAGTTGGTAGGTTTTTGACACCTTCAATGAACTGGAGTGGGGTAGAATGCTTGTCAATAGACTTGATGTGCGACTCTATGGGCGAAGATAGGTTATTTTTTATCTCACTCGGGAGTATTTAAAATAGCCAGTTTCTATTTCACATTGTTATTGTCTGATCCACCAGCTTGTGGATTGAACAATAACAATGTGAAACAGAAAATGGTTATTATAAATAGTCCCGAGTGAGATGAACAATAAAAATGGCTGCGCCCATCGAGTCGCACCTTGTTCTAATAGTACAACATGTACATTGGCATTCTACCCCCCTCCAGTTCATTGATTGGCTTACGCATGTCGTATAGAGAAAGTAAAAGTTGAAAAGTCTTTTGGTAGGTAGAGAGGGAGTAAACGTCAAACCACGTCGGGCGGCTCCGAGAATTTCACAGTAATGTTTACCTGCTAGTGTCGTTTCATAGAATAAATAATTTTAAATTGTTATCGGCGGAACCGGACAATCGCATGTATTTATGGATTATAAATAATTATTAAACATGTATTATAATATTCAAATTATAATTTTACAAAATTTCAACAGCTATTCACAATTTATTAAACTATTTACTCGAAATTGTTATTAACATCTATAAAATAATTTTGTACGCCAATGTATCGTGTCCACTTCGGTGAGATCCGCTGACAACCTGTCAATTTATGTGTATAAAGTGGGAGAACTGGCAAAAGCATTTCCAACTTTTACTTCTGTTCTATCCCTAGGTTGCCAGATCAATGATTAAAACGCACCTATTATTGCCGCGTTTGAGAATCCACATCGGATGCATCTGAGACTTCGAGCATATACATATGCTGCGTTTGAGAATCCACATCGGATGCATTTTTTACATCTCGAGCGTTTTTTTATCCACATCGGACACATCTGTCCCATTACATTTACGTATACTGAATCACGTGATCAAAGATTTTTTACATCTCAGATGCATCCGATGTGGATTCTCAAACGCAGCAATATATGCTCGAAGATCTGAGATGTAAAAAATCTTTGATCACGTGATTCAGTATACGTAAATGTAATGGGACAGATGTGTCCGATGTGGATAAAAAAACGCTCGAGATGTAAAAAATGCATCCGATGTGGATTCTCAAACGCGGCATAAAAATATTGCGCCAAGATGTAGGCAACACGTAATAAGGGTTCAAAATGGCGGAGTTCTCTATCTGCTTTTAAAAGGCACTCAGAAAGCTGCGCAGTGCGACCATTCTCCGTATAGTAAAAGAAAATCAAAGTCAGTGTTGCCACACCAATTAATTTTTTCGTAATAGAATTTTGAACCAAAAAGTAATAAAATCGTAATAGATAATATTTTAAAGTAACATAAAATGTACCAGAACTATTATTAAATACATTTTTCTACGTTCATGCAAAAAACAAAACTTTATTGAACTATATTTAGTGAAAAAACTTGGTCTTTATTGCACTAGTGCAATAAAAATTTTAATGCACTCATCTGTCATTTTACTACAGCGTTTTATGATCATGACAAACATAAATATTCAAATCAACGCCAAATATTTAGTCCATTTTTATTTTCTGTGTTACGTTTTAAAAACAATTGCATATTTTATATTATTTTCAATCATTTAATAAATAAATTAATAAAAAATGTATTTTATTAAAAATATCATTACAAATTATGAACACAAACGTAAATAAATGCCTCAAACAAAGGTACACGATCACGGCTACTATGATTTGGATAATACAACTGCAGTTCTATAAAACATTTTTTGGTTTTTGCATGAACGTAGAAAAAATATTGTATGCAACTCGTACAAAAAGTGTTTATTGCACTCGACGTGTTGTCCAACTCGGCCTGACAATTTCACGTCGCGTGCAATAAACACTTTTTGCACTTGTTGCATAAATAACTATTAACAATAAAAATTATTTAGTTGAGAGAAAATTATTTCTGCTGCTGCAAAATAATGGGGTAATGAAAATAAACCACAAATTAATTTTTGTAAATTTTAAACATTTGGTTCATGCAGTGTTTTTTTTATTTTAAAGATGTTAGCCCAAAATTCACCTAAGGGTAAATTTTTGTAATTTAGTATTTCTTCAGTCTTGAAGGGGTCTACGTTATTAAAAACAATATATAAATTATGCTGGAGGCTGGTGGTTATCCCCTACTAAACTAAAAACTGACCATAATAACAAAAAAATAATACAATAATAATAAAGTGACGCCTATCTTGGATTTATTGAAACAAGAAAACACAGAAATAACAAATGCATAGATTTCTAATTTTTTTAAATGTGGGCTCTGAAGCATGGAGGAAAGATTATTTCCTTGAAGTTTAAATGGAGCCACTCATAAAATTTTGATATTTTAAAAGGTAATAGATTTTTCCTCTTTTCTTAAAAGTCGTAATAACGTACTGGTGTAACTTTTTAGTAATAGATTTGTTACAATTGTAATAGCAACGGCAACACTGATCAAAGTATGTGGATTAGTGACAGTTTAACACGCTTAAATGTCATTTAAAAGCACCCTAAAATTTGTCCCGCTCCAGCCCCTGACTATCCGAACTCGCCTATACATAACATTGTCAGTTGTCAGTTTTAATCGATACGTCAACGTCAAAAAAAACAAGCAACACTAGCGACCTCTTAAATTGGTGTTAGTTTTATTGGAGGGAGATAAATATATGTATAGATCAATGTAAAAGAGAAAGAAAGTGATATATGTAATTTAAATGGACCACCGAACACTTTTTCCTATTAAGTTACACGTCTCTGTTGTCTCTGCTTCTGCTATACATCCGATGTGGATTCTCAAACTCGGCAATAGTTCAGTGGTCCGATGTGGATAAACAAACGCTCGAGATGTAAAAAATGCATCGGATGCACATTTACGGATTTGTTACTACCCATCTCTAAATTCACGCCATAACCGAACTTCGATTTTCGTTCAAGGACGACTTACCCAAGTCCGACTCAGCTGAGTTTGTTTATAAATACAGGCCTTAATGAACCTACCTACCAAAAATGATAATAAACATTTAAATAATAAAAAAAAAATAAAATGTGGTAATGTTTTAAAAATAATAATTTTCTGAGTTTTTTAAATTTTGCCGGGAACGTTAATATTTAATGCGCATACTCGTTCTCAGTCGATTCGAACATACACGAATCCTTAGTTATTCGTAAAAAATCGGAAAACCCGAAATCAAAATCTCCTACATACACCGGAACTTATCCGCATCCGCCATATTTGCTTGTAGTATATTTTCTTGGCAGGTCCATTGGAAGTGACAAAAGGTAATTCTTAGGTAAGTAGGTGTTTTTATTATTAATAAACGTTTTGTTTGATTGTCTAAATTTAAGTTAAATTTTGTTTAATTGTAAATTATCTATAGAAGATAACATGTATTGTATGGACCGGCTTATTTATTTCTCAACGATTTGTGTTGATGAAACTAGAATATTAAACTACTGTATATGTATGGTTAAATACAAATTTATTTATTAGAACGTTTAACTTCAGATTATGATTTGCGTAAACCTACCTATCTATGTTTCAATTTTCAAATCGCACTAAATATAATTATAATTTTCTGTCAATCGATAAGTTGATGCCTAAAATCCTAAGTGATTAAATTTAAAATAACCCTGTAAAATTGTTGAAGATAAAAATATAAAGAACAATTTTATTATGGGAAATGAAAAATCAATTGGGTACCGAGGTAGGTATATTAGGCCATGTCAACGTTTACAGAATCAATTTACAAAACAGACTAAAATTGAAAGCATAAAAATGATTGAAAATGTTTATAGAAAAATACAGGCATTTTATTCTTCCTGCATTGTTTAACTGATAAAAAGTCCTATTATAATCTAGGTACCACCATGACATTTTATTTTTTACTTGTACACTCAACAGTAAACATTACATGCAAGTACCAAATAGGAATTTTCTTTATCTTGCTTGTTTATTGTATAATTAAGTACAATGATAATCACTTTATTAGTCATAGTTTTTAACACCCCTTCATATGGAATGTTTTTGTTAATTAAAGGGGTTAAAGTTCTCAATCATACTTTTTATAAGCTAGCTGCTTTAAATACTTTGCAATAAATATTTTTACAGACTGACGAAAATAAACAATAATCATAAAATACGTATTTTAAAGACAGTTAATTTCAAAAAGTTCATTACCAAAGCTAAAATAGGTATAAAATGAATAAAAAGGGATCAACATTTCACTAGATAGGTATTGCATTTATTCAATACAACAGGGGTAGCAACGACAGATTTTTTTTGTTTAAACTGTTGATTTAATTGAACCCTTAACTTATAAATGTATAGATTGGTAGGTCATACTGATGACAATCTACTGTTTTCTTGCAATTCATAGACATATAATCACATTAAAAAATTAAGGTATCACTACTTGATTTTGGGCCAATTTTCTTTAAATAATATATAATAGGTTTGTTCTAACATAAACCAAATCAATGTATGTAGTGTCCGGATTCTGCACAGTCTAAAATTCGTGTTCCAACAAACTTCACACTCTAAAAAGTATGAAAACAGTGTTCCAACACAACTGAAACTAATCACAAACCGATTTGTGTACTGTCAAATCAGTTCTTGGGTACTGAATAGGAACGAATTGTCAAGACATGACCAAAGCCGCAATAACCTAAAAGTTTCCTGATTCTATTTATATTATTTGTATCTATCATCTCTGACAGCTCTGATTTGTATGTGTTAATCCAGTTTAGTCTATAGTTTTTGTTCATTATCATTTATTTTATTTTGTGATTTATTGTAATAGTGCGTCTGTTGAATTTATTAAAAGTGTTCCAACGTAATCGAGTTCCGAGTTTAGACCCAATCCCTGATAGGTTGTCAATTATTAGTTGTCGACAGATTTTCAACAATAAGTCCTGGACTGGTTTATGTATGGTTCCAAAATCGTTGTTGGAATAAACCTAATATTTTTAACCCTTTAAAGACAGATTTTTTCCAAGCATTTGTGCTGGACGGAATTATTTTTCAACACACATCTGTATTAATTTCTTTAAATTTAAAAATTAGCAATAATGTGAGTATACCTACAAAAAAAATATAGAAATATGAGTTCTACGAACTTAGAGAAAATTAAACTTGAATTAATTACTTGTAACTGGAACTTGGACTCTGCTGATGTAAATTGTATTTATAATAATTTTTTAAAGAATTTCAAGGGTGTAATAGATAACGTTTCACCTGTTCAGAGGTGTCAATATAAAAATAATGTACCATGGTTTGACAATGAAATTTCGGATAGTATTAAAAAACATGATAGGATGTACAGGGAATCTATATCAACAAGAGGTGCAAATAAAAATTTAAAATTTGAAAATTTAAAAAACAAAGAAATGTAGTTGTAAACTTATTAAAAACAAAAAAATAAATGTATTAACTATGATAAAATCCATAGATATCCTAATAATATTAAATTTATGTTCAAAACTTTAAAAAACATGATAATTGATATAAAGCATCATTTTCCTAATGTTGATTTTAGTTTTAATAGTACGCCAAATTTGGAAAGCAATGAAAAATTAAATTGTCAACAAATTTAATAATTATTTTATAGATAGCATAGAACAAATTGTTGAAAGTATTGTAAGTGATGGACAGTGGAAATTTGCAACTATAACTTATATCCTACTTTTTCAAAGTTTAGGATATTAAAAAAAATAATTAAATGTTTGCAATTTAAAGCTTAAAATTTACTGCTAAAGTGAAACATAAATATAAAATATACATGAAGCATTAATATAAAATAAAGGTTGGAAAAGTTGTCAGATTTGTCTGTTTGGATTTTTGGGCTTTTCATTAATTTTTCCTATAATATTTGCATAATCTAGCCTTATTCAATTTATCTCATTTAGTCGAACAATATAAAGTATCTGTTAAAAAGGTTTGGAGCATCGTAGCATCCATCCAACATGGAAGAAAATAGCATAGGCGATGCTATACCGCCCGATAAATTAAAAGAAGAACAACACTAATATCCTGTATAGTAAAAATGATATAGGTCCATACAAAGTATTTGTGCAACATTCAGAACAAAATGTAGGAAATCTACATCTTGTTGATGTTGGAAAACTTTTACACTGTAACAAAATAAAAGGTATCAAATCAATTGAAAAGAAAGGAATAAATAGGGTAGGTGTTACCTTTTGCACCTATAGATAGGCAAATGACTTCAAAAATAATGCGATTTTAAAGGATCTGAAGTATGAAACCTTTATATGCCGATGGATCTGTAGACCCATCCTCTTATAGAGCAAGCTATGGAGTTCAAATTCCCGATTTAAACTATAATATTAGTTCACGTTTGGCAGATAGAACTAATATTTGCATTTGCACTGCAGAAATCAAAGCTGTGGAAATGGCTGTAATCAAAATTAATAAATCTGACTGCAAAAATGTGCTCAATATGGACTCTTATTCAGACAATACAAAGATTAAGTATACTATCCTGTTCAGATAGCTGCAGCTAAATATTAAAAGTCAGATTTACGATGCAAAACTTAAGAATATAAATATTACTTTTGCGCGGATACCTAGTCATAGGAATATAAAAGGAAATGTCATAGCTGATAAACTTGCTAAATTAGGACTCAAAACAAATATTATTCTGACATAATGACAATGGATTATAGAAATTTGCTACCCAGAGTTAAAAATAAAATTTGGGATGATTGGAGTGAAGGATGGAGAGAACTGAGTCAAACTAAGGGTAAGCATCTTTTTAACATTTTCGGTGCCCATGAAGTTCATTAACGTCATAATAATTTTCCCCATACCTATGACGTTTTGTAACGTCAGTTGAGATGTATGCTTGGATAAATGTAGACAAGTCACTATGCAGTGAATTGTCTTTATAACCCAGTATGCATGTGAAAACGTTCTTAAATTAGTGCATTATGAGTTACTTTGATATTATGTTTGTGAATTTAACATAGCAAGGCTTTAACAGGTTCTAATTAAATGATGTACCTAATTGCTCGATATTTCAATTTGTGGCATAGACATGCAAACAAGTCTTTAATAAAAGTTATATGGAGTTGAAAAATATATAATGTAAAAATATTTTTGGATATACAGTGTGTTACGCTTTTGCTTGGAAAGTAAAAATATATATATATATATATATTTGTTAAATGGAGCACTGTATTTTATCTCAGTTTTAGAATTCTTAGGGAATACTTTATTACACCCTAGAATATTTTTAAAAAGTATTACAGGTTTGCCAAGCAATTAATTTTTTGTGATATAAAATGATAGACCCCAAATAACATCAGAATTTAAGTAGCTTATCAATGAGTTGAACATTATTTAAAATATAGGCTTATAACATGGAAAAAAAATTGTAGAACAAATTTCTACAATTATAGATTTTTTTCTCTACAATAAATAGTACATATGGGGACAGGGACAATTTGTAGTAAAAATTTCCAAATATTTGTGGAGAATGTATTGAAGAGTTATTATCTATAATATAATAATGTGTTATAGGTACTCGTATATGTACCATGCTTTGTTATGTGAACATGGCGAACGGCTACTGCTGTCTGGCCATTTATGATCGACGTCAGAAAACGTTGGCCAATAGCAGAATTCTGTTTTGTTCACATGACTTAGAATTTCTACAATATTATAGAATATTTTTGAACAAAATTGAATATTTTTCATAAGAAGGGATGTAAAGTATTACTATTTTTTGTAGAAAAAAATTACTATTTTATGTAGAGATAATTATTAATATTTGTACAAATTTTTTCAGAAGTTAGTAGTAGTAATTACGATAATTGTAATAAATTTCTACTTCTACAAACAATAGTAAAATATACTAAACGTTGTGGAATTCTTTCCTATTGTTGTAGCATTTTATTCGACAATTCAATTGCTACAATAATGAATAGTTTTTAACTATAAATTGTAGTAAAATTTTCTACAAATTGTTAAGTATTTTTCTACAAGTCTACAAATAGATTTGTTATCATATCGTCAAACAATTTTAATAGACTTAACGTTTCTAAAAATGTTTTGATTTTCCATTCATTTACTACGTTGTATATAGGGTGTGTAAAAACGCAAGATTAAGATTTTCTTATTTTTTTTTTTTAAGGCGATGGCCTGTATGTTACACCACATTTAATTAATTAATAATTTAGTTTCTTTACTTTTTATTTTCTTTGGCATTCTTGAGCCTAAACTGATTTTTAAATTTTATTTACAATGGTTCATATTACTTGTAACGTCAAAGGA